GAAATGTGTCTCCCTGTGGGGGAATACCTAAATTGTCACTAATAGCAGTGCTGCAGCAATAGTCTTTGGAATAATTCATATTTATTCTTCTTGTACTGCTTATGAAAGGTCCCAGACTGACAGTTCTGGAGCCCAAAGTCTTTTATTTATTGACACAAGAAAATTATACACAACACAGTATCTCTAGGCCCTATTCTACATATGAGCAGTCTCTTGGTCAAAGGGATAATTCAATCAAATACACATTTAGTCTAATGGGACTATTAACAAGGTTGCCCATTATTTGTGGCAACGTTCTTTGCAATGAGAATAGTTGCCCACCAGGAACTGGACAGAGACCTCCAACTCATTGCCCACGGAGTAACTTGCTAAACAGCCACAGGGTGGTAATGACATTGTATGATCAATGCAACTAACTTAAACTCTTTTATAGGGGTGGATTACTTACAAAAATTCTTGGGTGTCATTAATTACCTGTACTACACACACTCACTGAATATCAAATAGATTTTAATGAACAATCTCTTTTGCCAGTAACCAATGAATGCCTTACAAAAGTGTCATTTAAGGACCAAGTTACTCAAGCTTCACTAGCACATAGTTTTGAGAGATGCTGAGTACCCATGACTCCAACTGACATTAGCCACTCTCTGATTCAGGGCCACACTGAAAACAAAAAGTTCTCAGTGCTGGACACTGCTGTAACAGAGCTTCAGAGTCAAGATCAGCTTTACCATGAGAGAGCAGAGAGAGTAGACCAATAGAAGATTTGTAGTTAGGAGCTGCAGTTTGCTATGAGATCCTTCCACTGAATCCAGGCTGCATTTGCTGAATAGCAAGCAAAAGAGTTCTTTACCCCTCCTTTTCTAGAAAAGCTAAGCGCTGTCCAGAATCCCATGCCAACATTTTTTGAGGAAGCATGGAGTACTTCAGGTATCAATATTTGGCTTGGTTGGCATAAGGCTAACTAGGAAATGTGTGGCAAGGACCCAGCAAAACCAGATGAAGTTCCTTGCTTCTCTGTACAATTCTCTGCTTGAAAGGTATTTCATTCTGCAAACAGACTGAGTTTGGTGGTTTAGGAAATTTGCCACAGTGGATACAGTAAATAGGACACTGAAAGTTTGTTCGGAATGGAAAGCTGCTGTGTATAACTCAGTATTTTCCAGTGTCAAGTCTCAGAAACTGTGAAACCCGAAATATTCAACAAATGATAGTGATATTTCCCCTGGAAAAAAGACAGCACTCCAGCATCTCTTTTCTAAAAACAGAATACCCCTGATGTGGTATCAGTGCTAGGCTTATGAATCAATCAGTCATCTGTAGGAGAGAGCCCTTAAGCAGGGTTCGGATGGATGAGTCAGGCTTTCCATTTTCATTTTCCATTCTCAAGCTGTGGCTTGAGAATTCAAATAGAATTAGATGACCATGATGGACTGAAAAGATGATAAAACCGGGGATATGCCTGACTGTAGGCCCTTAAGTTTCCACTAGAAATTTGTCCTGAGGCTGGGTAGCCTTTATGGTAAGATCTGAATCAGTACTGTTCAACTGAAGGAACTAGCAGGGGTCATTGCGGGACCTCTGGCACAGCTCTGCGAGCACTCATGGCGCTCAGGCGATGTGCCGGAGGACTGGAAAAGGGCCAATGTGGTCCCCATCTTTAAAAAAGGGAGGAAGGAGGACCCAGGAACTATAGGCCCGTGAGTCTTACTTCGGTCCTGGGGAAGCTTTTCGAAAGAATTATCCTGGCACATGTCCAGGAAGGGCCAGCAGGGGAGGTTATGCTCAGGGGCAACCAGCATGGGTTCATTAGGGGCAGGTCTTGTCAAACCAGCCTGGTGGCCTTCTACGACCAGGTCATCAAGTCCTTGGATGCAGGTGTCACAGTGGATATAGTCTTTCTGGACTTCAGGAAGGCCTTCGACATGGTCTCTCACCCCATTCTCAGTAAAAAACTAGGAGACAGTGGTGTTGATGCCTACACGGTCAGATGGGTCACTAACTGGCTGGAGGGCCACACCCAGAGGGTGGTGGTGTATGGGTCTTATTCGACCTGGAGGGATGTGGGCAGTGGGGTTCCCCAGAGCTCAGTCCTTGGGCCCACATTATTCAACATCTTCATCAGCGACTTGGGTGAGGGGGTAGAAAGCACCCTGCTCAAGTTTGCAGATGACACTAAGATGTAGGGGGAAGTGGGTACGCTAGTAGGAAGGAACAGGCTGCAAGCGGATCTAGACAGGTTACAGGGGTGGGCC